CCCCCCCCCCCCCCCCCGTGTCCTAGCATCGGCCTCCCGCGGTGGGCGAAGGCGGGTTTGCGTTCTTCACGCGTGCAATGATAAAGATCCGTGTTGTAACTCGGGCCCCGTGGCGCCGGACGGTTTACCAGTCCCTTGCGCCTTCGCGTCCTGGTCAGACGTGCCCACGGCGTGCCTGCCCCCGAGCTGGACCCGGTAGCAGGGAGGCTTGGTCCTGAAAACGCTCAGACCGGAGTAACACAGGTACGTAAGGAGGACGAACAAATGGTTGGTACTCAAAGGAACACATGCTTGGCCCCAGGACAATGCGCTAGGACGCAGACGCTGAAAGACTACTTTTTAAGGTGAAAACTGGGATTTGGGGTCCCTGGGTGCTCAGTTGGTTAAGCGGCTGACTCTTGACTTCTGCTCAGGTCATGATCTCACCGGTGCGGGAGATCAAGCTGGCTCTGTGCTTGGGATGCTCTCTCCCTTTCTTTGTGCTCCTTCCCAGGTCACATGCTCTCTCTCAAGTGAACAAACACCAAAAACAAAACAAAACAAAACAAAATCCACGGGGATTTGAACCCACACCTGATTTACTACAGGCATCATTTTTCAGCTCATAGAATTTTTGAAGTCTAGGGAAAAGATGTGTCCTCTCCTTGTTCCTCCCCGGATGTCAACTACAAGGCTATTATTAATAGTGAGTAATTCCTTTACGAATAAAACTTTGCTTTCAAAATACAAATACTCTGGGGTGTTAAATGCAGTGAGGCCTGACAACCATTCACATGTGAGTGTAAATTAATTTACTTAGTCACTTCTCTTCTAACAGCTATATGGTAGGCTAAGGAGTGGAACTTCACATGTCTGGGTTGTAGGGGACCTTTTAAAGCCTGATTATTGCTGAGAATGGAGGGGAGGGGCCAGGAGGCCCCTGCAGGAGCTACTCACTGACTTTCTTGGGAGCCCCACCACTTATGTGTTTACAGTAGTCAATTGGCTATTGCTGTCTAATCCTAATGACACTTCAAAGTTGGTCTATTTTCAGATGCATCTTGGCTTGTCCCAATCTGGGGAGACGGCGTGCTCTGAAGGTTTGGTACAGCTGATTAGAAAACCATTCGGACTTTTCATGCAAAGTTAAATATCCACCTCTCCTGTAACACAGAATTCTGCTTCTAGATGTATATCCAAAAGAAATAAAACTTATGTCCACACACAAAAAACTTGTACACAAATTTCATAGCAGCTTTATCCACAACCATTACAAGTTGGAAGCAACCCAAACGTCATCAACAGATGAACAGAAACCCAAACCGCATTGTGGTCACACAATGGAATACTATTTAGCAATCAGAGGAATGAAATACTGGTACACTCAGTAATGTGGTCACTGAGGGAAAGAAGCCTTCCACAGAGCTCGAACTCACAAACGTTCGACACGGGGCTCGAACTCACAAACCGTGAGATTGTGACCTGAGCCGAAGTCAGACGCTCAACCGACTGAGCCACCCGGGCGCCCCGCTGAAGTATTTGTCCAGACCTTAATAGCAAATACGGAACATTCCCACTCGTCAGAAGCTCCTTTGTGTTCCTACCCTGTCAAAGGCACCCACAGTATTTACTGTCACCACAGACCAGTTTTGCCCCTCTTGAGCTTTGTTTGAATGGAATCATAAAGTACAAACAGATCTTGCTTCAGTCAGAAGTAGGAAGCGGTCACAACTTTGAGGCCCGAGGGCAGGAGGGGAGGTGGAGGTGTTAGCAAAACCCAGCAAGGGCCGTTGCCACGAAAGAGGCTTCCCGAAGGGGACGTTAGCCGTAGGTAGCAGAACAAAATCCCTGCCACTTGTCTGGTAGGAAGGGCGTGGGGCAGAAAATACCCCAACATCTCTGTCCTCCGCCCTTTGGATTCCTCCTGATGCCTCCTGTTGGCTGAGCCATTTGATAGGTGGAGGGGAAAGGAACACAGGTACCAGCGTCCTTAGAGGTCATGGTCTCGGTGCAGACTTGGCCAGAGGAGGGCGGAAAACGGAGCTGGAGACACAGTCGGAAAACAACCAGTAGGTCTATCTAGCTTTTTCATTCATTGGGATGAAGAAAATGCAAAATAAAACTGAAGTGCTATCAGTTTCAGTATGTGAATTCATTCATATTCTCACCCGGAGATACACTGTAGTATTAGCCACCATCCGTGGTTATTGTCGCATAAGTGCTGTTTCACATAAAAGGCAAGTGGCAGAAGCAGACAATGATAAACTGTGGATGCTACAGTCCCCACTTCCGCAACTGGCCATGGGCCCTTATTTGACGATCATTGCAATGTTCCCCCATTCGAGTCTATGAGCCTCTTGGCCTGCATGACTGTTTTCTTTTAACCGGTGAGCGGGACCCACACTTTCATTCGTACTAGAGGATCTTTATTTGTTTATTCATTATCTTATTCGTTTATTCGTTTGCCTTGGTTTCTCATGGACTGTTGTCATTGGACATGGGAGCTGTCTGGGATCTGGACAGTCTTTCATGCCATATTATGTAGCAGCAACACAACCTCCCCTTGGTAGTCAGGACCAATCACCAGCCAGTAGGGTGACCTTCTTCTGTGCCGGTTGGAGAGCAATCTTTGCTTCCAAGTTACTGGCACATGCCTGAGTGTTTACTGGTGGAAATATTTCTCCTTTGCCCACCCAAACCTCCCGAGTCACGAATCTAAATGTCTTGGGGATGCTATGCAAAACCTTGGCAGGTGGATTATTATATATAATGCATGGGAGGTCATTGCCACTTCCACTCCTTGGTTTTTAGACGGCGTCTTCTGTCTGTAAGAGAAATGGCCCCACGTATCGGCTGGTGGTTTAAGACATATGCTGTATCTGGGCAAATGCCCTCCTCTCTCAAGGTGTTGTCACCAGCTAGTGACCTCACGTTTCTATGAAGCCACCCGCTTCTGAGTAGTGAGGCATATAGTAAAAACAGATGTGGCTGGAGTAAGAGGCACCTGACAACTAGAGAACGGGTCCAATTCTCAAGGTGTCAGCCTGATTATTAAGGAAACCCTCTCCATTGAATGCCCCTGGGTGGGTGGGTGGGGGGCGGTTAGTCTACATATATATTCACAGGCTGCCAATTCCAATAGGTCCATACGGCTATCCTTATTACTGGCCTTTCAGTCTTGAACTTTTCAGGTCTTTGACCAACTATTTTAGGTACGATCCATAAATCAGTGTGGATTCATGAGTAAGGCCACCGGTCATGGAAACCAAAGTTTCACCCATTGGGAGGATTTTCTTTTGCTTTCTTTTTTTTTTTCATTGTGGTAAAATATACTTAACACAAAATGTACCACTTTAATCATCGTCAGTGTGCGCTCTGTGATATTAAGTACATTCATGTTGTGGTGCAACCCTCACCGCCATCCATCTCCAGAAAATCTTCAGCATCCCTAACTGAAACTTCGTACCCATTGAACAATAAATCCAATTTCCTCAGCACCCCCAGCCCTGGCAACCACTCTTGTACTTTTGGTCTCTCTAGATTTGACTGTTCCAGGTGCCCCATGTAAATGGAATCGTACAATGTCTGTCCTGTGTCACTACTGATTTTTAGTGCTGGACCAGAGTGGGGAAGGTTAGTGCCATGCTGTGGACACTCAAGGGTAAAGCAGGCCCAAGGATTTTCCTCCTCTGTGAAGTGAAACTCCACATGAGTCCACAGGTGTGGGCTGGGGTGGAGGAAGCAGAACAGTAAGTGCCATGGAAATCTGAGCCACCGGCTCATCAATTTACTTGTCCCTTCCAGGCCCACTGATGTATATACCATTTCCATTTGAGAGTGGAATTCTGCTATACATTTCACAATAGCTCATTCATAAAACCAGCTAAGGTCTCACACTCACGTGATACCTGTGGTCAAGGAGCCCGATAGCAGGATACAAAGTGCTTATCAAATGGAGAGTAGTTGATTCAACTCTGACACTCTAGGGGTCTCCATTGCCCTTCTGCTAGCTGGTGTGCCCAAGCACCGTAAGGCATCCGTATCTCAAAGTATTGTGCCTTTTGTGACATGAGGCCAAGGTGGCAAGGCAGTTTGTACTGAAACCTGGTTGCTACAAAGTTCCCTCTTGCTATGAACTGCTTTCAAAACTATAAGCCTTATGGGTTTATACACAGTAACTGGTCCCAAAACCTTTGTAACTTTTTATTCATGCTGGCAGTACACACGTATCGATTTATCCCTAAATACAGCTCGGAGATATCACAATGAAAATCTCCTACTATCCTCGCTAGGTGAAAGCAAATGGCTTCTGATTGTGTTTGCTGATGGAATTAAAAATAAACCATTTACTTGGTTAATAACCACCTAACAGGTGCCCAAGCCTATATTGATTTATTCTAGTAAGGACAGTATTCCTGGACATGTATCAATACCTAATTCTTTTGAAGATAAGCCACTAACATTTCCCAAAGTCTTCTGGCTTCTGCTCCGGCAAACAGGAAAGAAACACCGAATGACCAAATGTCCCGGTTCCTTCCTCTTGCTCGTCACTGTTGTCCCAGTATGCCATCCAATTTCGTATTTGACCCGGGTGTTTCATTTTCTGAAGAAATATCATCAAGAGTAGACTCAACATAGGGGCGCCTGGGTGGCTTGGTCGGTTAAGCATCCGACTTCGGCTCAGGTCATGATCTCCCGGTCCATGAGTTCGAGCCCCGCGTCGGGCTCTGTGCTGACAGCTCAGAGGCTGGAGCCTGCTTCGGATGCTGTGTCTCCCTCTCTCTGACCCTCCCCCGTTCATGCTCTGTCTCTCTCTGTCTCAAAAATAAATAAACGTTAAAAAAAAATTAAAAAAAAAAAAAAAGAGTAGACTCAACATAAGCCAAAATGATCGTCCTCAATCTTGCACTTCGGGTTTGTGAATGTTCTCATCTAATAGTGTGTGAGATAGGGGCGCCTGGGTGGCTCAGTTGGTTGAGCGTCCAACTTCAGCCCGGGTCATGATCTCGTGGTTTGTGGGTTTGAGCCCCGCATCAGGCTCTGTGCTGGCAGCTCGGAGCCTGGAGCCTGCTTCGGATTCTGTCTCCCTCTTTCTCTGCCCCTCCCTGGCTCACACTCTGTCTGTCTACCTCTCTCTCAAAAAAAATAAAAAAAAAACATTAAAAAAAAAAATAGTGTGTGAGATGCATGTACCGTTCCGGCTTGAAAAGTGATTA